GTCCAGTGGTCAGCCTGGTTCTCCAGAGACAGGAGGTACAGCCATCCTGGGCCGTGTGGGAACATTTATTCTGAGCCTGGGGCACCCTTAACTCTAACCCTGGGCCCACAAAGTAGCCTCTGATGGGGACTCTGGCCTTCCTGGGGGCCCACCTCCCACCTCTCTGCTTTTCTAGGAGAGAATTTCCTTTCGCCCAGGAAATAGGCTCAGAGAAGTCAGATGACTCGCCCATGGTCACACAGCCAGGCCTGGAACCCAGGAGGCCTGCCTTTATCTCTCAGATTGGGTCATATCTGGCCTGATAGCTCATGTCCTCCCTGGCCCACTTCGGGCCCCAAACCATTGGCCACTGCCTGCCTCTCTCCGTTCCAGTCCTACCCAACATGGACCCACTAAAATGCAGTCCTAGGCACTCTACTCCCATGCTTCAAAATCCTCAGTGGCTCTTGGTCCCCTAGGATGTGTCCAAGCTCCTTTCCAGACCATCTGTGAGCTGATTGTCCCACCAGGCTCTCACTGCTGCTTCGGGCACAGCGAGCCTGCACTGCGCAAACCTTCCCTCCCTGTGGTGCTGGCCCTCAGCACAGGAGCCAAGATGCTGCCCCTCTAGGCCCTGCATGGCTGTTCCGCCTGTGGCCCCAGCAGGGCCAGGCTGGGGGTCCTCGGCCAAATAAGTGAATGTCTCCTTAGTCCGAGTCTCTAGATATGCTGCAGACTTACAAGGGCTGGGGTGTAGCAGGGGATGCCTGGCACTGCTGAGGCCCCCAGCCCCCTGCACCATGTGGTTGGTGTTGTGGCTGTGCCCGGCATCCTGCTGACGTCTCTCGGAGCACACATTGCCACATAGTAACAGGCCTCCACGTGCTCTTGGCTCCTCGTGCTCATTTCTGGTGTCTGGTTCGCTTTGTTGAGCTGGGGAAAGCCCATCCCCTCAACTTCTCCTCATGCCTCCACTCCAAGGCCTCCTTCAGATACCCCGCCCATACCCCCATTGGCAGGATCTTGCCACTGAGGCTGGATGACCTTGAACAGGACACAGCCATTCCCTGAGCCTTGGTTTCCTCATCTGTAAAATGGGGGTCATGATCTCCACCTGGAAGACTCTGAGCTCCCACCAGCTGTGTGCCCAGCACAGGGCCTGGCACAGGGCAGCCCTCTGAGCCTCAGTCTGCTCCCTCCCCTCCTGCAGAAGGAGAAGATCCGGGAGAAGTTTGTGGAAGCCCTGAAAACAGAGTTTGCCGGCAAAGGGCTGAGGTTCTCTCGAGGTACGTGCATCCACTCATCCCGTGGAGGGTCTGAGAGCCTGGCCCTGAAGCCAGCCCCGGGCCTCACTCCCCAGGCCACGCGGCACTCCCCAGCATCTTTAGAAAGCCTTTCTGCCCGGTAGTCCTCCCCACCCAAACCCAGTCCATGCCCTGCCACCCACCCAGTAGTTCAGGTCAAAAAACCAAAGCATCTCCCTCAATGTTTCTCCCTCACCCCCTTCCCAAGGGCAGTCTCCTAGCAAGCAAGTCCCAGGGCCCTGCATCCAGAATCCTGGAATCTGACCACGGCTCACACTTCTGCCACCAGCAGCCTCTTTTCAGGCTCTGGCTGACTCCAACGCAGCCGTCCTCCCACCGCCTAGTGTCTAGAGGGATGCTCCCCGAAAAGCAGACCCTGCTGGACCCCAGGGCCTGCATGGCCTCGCCTCTGCCCTGCCTTCTCTGGTGCTGGGACACTCCATGTCCTTCTCCGCCTCGGGGACTATGCTTGCTTCCCCGCAGTGGCTGCTCTGGCTCAGGCCTTAGCTCAGTGTCCCCTCCCAGAGAGGTCTCCCCGGTGGTGCTGGCTGGGGCAGCTTCCCTCCCTCCGCCCCACGGCTCTGAGGTGCCTGGCTTGCCCACTGCCTGTTCTGCCCCCCTGGGACCATAGCTCTCAGTGAGGAGCCTGAGGCTCCCATGCCCTGTGCCTGGCTCTGCGTAGGCACTCCAGGTTGTTGAATGAATGAATAAATGCAGGATCTTGCCCAAGTTCATCCCATGGGCCACCCCTGTGCTCGCCTTGTCTGCCACCCCCTGCAGGCGGCATGATCAGCTTTGACGTCTTCCCCGAGGGCTGGGACAAGCGTTACTGCCTGGACAGCCTGGACCAGGACAGCTTCGACACCATTCACTTCTTTGGGAACGAGACCAGCCCCGTGAGTGTGGCTCAGCCCAGATGTTTTCCACCCCAAATCACCCCCAGGTCAAGGCCAGGACACAGGGCGACAGAACTGTCCCCGGGGAGACTCCCGGAGACCAGCCAGTGTTCCTCAGCCCCATTACGCAGATTGGAAGGCTGGGGCTGAGAGCTGGCTGGACGCTTGTCCCATGTCACACAGCAAGTCAGGGCAGATCTGGTGAAGGCTGAGAAGGTGGGGGTCCGGGTGGTTCTGAGGGGGCAGGAGGAGAGGCAGCTCTGCAGGGGCCAATGTGGGGAGGGGACCCCATGGCAGGGCCCGTGCTGGGCCTTAGCCCAGGGAACCTCCTCCAGGCACCACATGTATGTGCATCTTCCTGCCCTTGTGTGCAGGGTGGGAATGACTTCGAGATCTACGCTGACCCTCGGACCGTCGGCCACAGTGTGGTCTCTCCGCAGGATACAGTACAGCGATGCCGTGAGATTTTTTTCCCAGAGACAGCCCATGAGGCATGACCAGGGCCCACACCCGCTCCTAGGGACTTCTAGAGAACTCCACCCAGGCCTAAAGAGAGCCCCTGGCCCTGGTGTTGGGTGGGGTGCCAGGGCCCGTCCTCCTCCGGCTCAGGATGCCTACCTCCTATTACCTGCTGCAAGGCCCACCTTGATGGGGCCAGGGTCCACGTGGACAACCGTCCCTAGCCGGTCAGCTCCTAGGGGGGCCGGCTCCGTCCTCCACCCCGACAGCCCTGGCTACAGCTGCTGCTTGTACTTGTAAAGAGAACAGATTTCTGTCTACGCCTGGAGGAGACCTGCACTAGTGTTGGTACGAGATAGAGCCCGCTCTGCTTGCCTGTCCCAGGCAGGGCGCAGAGCACCAGGGAAGGTGCGTATTTGCCAGAACTTTCTCTCACAAACATTAAAATTCCTGGAACAAGGTATGGTGTCAGCTCTGTCTGAATGGATAATTGGCCCCAATCCCAAATGACGTTACGTGAGGGAGCCGAGGCAGAGTGGGCAGGGACTCCCCTCACCCCCTGCCTGGTCACACAGGAAGTCTTTGATCCATTTGAGGAGAGTGGGCCATTGAAGCCCTAAACAAGGGTTAAGTTGGGGGTACCCTCCCCAAGCACCTCCCCCGGACCCAGACAGACAGAGGCAGCTCTGGGCCAGGCTGAGTCACAGTTGAGGGTTTATTGCCAGTGTTAGGAAGGATGGGAGGTTGGTGGGCGGGGTGGGGGGGGACGGAGTCCAGGCGGCTGGGGGTCTTGGGAGGATTTCTGACTCGACACTGCAGGGCTATGGGTTTGGAGGGGTACTGCCGCCCCTCTGCCTCCCAGACAGCCCTGGGGCTGATGTTGCCACATCCTGTCTACTGGCTAGTGCCTAAAAACGGGGGGCGGGGGGGTGTCTGCTCACAGGAGGGAGTCTTGGGGGGGCTCCCAGGAGTTCACCTGCACCAATAAACCTTCCACCAAGGAAGCCAGGGAGTCCTTACTCCTCTGGGGCAAGTCCTCAGGCCTTGTCAGGCCAGCTCCGGCTCAGACTGGGGTGTCTGTCAGGCTGGGCCATTCTGTTTCTCAGCAGCTCTGACCCCCACCCAGCCTGGTAGAGCCTGGGGGGTGGGGTGCACGTACCCCAGCTGATCTCTACCCTGAGGCCCAAGGGGTACCTGCAGTACTGGGGATCCTTCTAAACAGATAACCCTCATCCTGGGCACTTGAGCCCCTGTTTTACTCACAGACCCTGTCTCAAGGCTTACTGTCCCTGGCAGGCTTTCCCTCGACCCCCATTTCTTGTTGCATCAAATGTGTTCTCTAGGAAGGGGTGTGGTGGTGATGGGGGGGGATTGAGGCGAAGCCTCTCCTTTCTGGCCTCCCAGGCCAGACCGACCCCCCCACCCGAGAGTGAATGCACACACACACACACACACACACACACACACACACACACACACACACCCCTTAAGGGACTCAACGCATGAGATTGGGACCACACACCTCAGCCACTGGCCTAGTGGGGGCCAGCAGTAGTGCTTCAGGGAGAGGGTCCAGCAAGGGGCTACAGGGCTAGTGGTCTCGGGCTGAGGGCCATCCTGTGGGTGCCCAGGCCTGGCCCTGCCTGAGGGGACGTGCGTCTGCCTCGCCAGGTCCTCAGCAGCCTTATCTGGGCATGGGCAGAGCATCAGCAGAGTTTGTGGGTCAGGGCGAAGGGGATGGCTCCATCCAAGCAGGGGGAGATGTGCCCCCACCCCTCCACAGATCTGCGTCTCGGAGAGTGGTGGCAGCGTGGCTCAGCGCAGCCCAGGGGAGAGGACACAGCCTTGAGCTCACAGAGCCATTGCCAGGCCGAGGAGGAGGAGGGACCGAGACCCCAAAACCACCTCTGCCCTCGGCTCCTTGCCTGCCTCTCGGGGCTGCTGAGAGGAGAGAGCAGATGGAAGGAAGGGAAGCTGGGCCCGTGGCAGTGAGGAGGGGTCTGTCCTACTCCAAGGGTTGCCCTCTTCCCCTGCCAGAGGCTGGGAGGCTCCCCCAGAGCTCTCGCTGGCCTGGCTTCTGTGGCAAGGGGTCCAGGCCACCGTGGGAGACCCAAGCCCAGGGTGAGAGGTGTAAGTAGCACAAGCAGAATCTGGCCCTGGGCCGGGCCTGGGGCAGAGGCAAGGGGAACTGGCTTGCACGGGGAGGGGCCCACAGGTGCCCCCTGCCTCCCAGGCCCAGGCCCAACGCAGGCCCTCAGGGGCTCGGGGGACAGGAGGGCGAGAGGGTCCTGTGCGGATGTGGCAGGGAGGGGAAGGAGAGAGCCGACAACAAGAAGGCAGGCCTGGGGGCCTCACCTTTGGTCCAGCTCACACAACAGTCATGGGTCACGGGGGGTGGATGGAGGCACGTGCTCGCGGTCACAAGCACAGACAGACACGTGTACGCCGAGGCCGCCCAGGGGACCCGGCATGTGCGGGGGCCCGGAGCCCGCGGCTGCCCGCCTACCCTGTGTGGCTCCCCACCCGCCCGGCAGCTGACACGTGAGCCCCCTGGCCTAGGAGCCCACGACCTGGCCGGACCACGTCTCGTGGGGAGTATGTGGGGCCAACTGGGTGAGCACCACCTCCACAGCCTGGAACTTCTGGTTCTTGGGCGGGATGGGGCACATCTTGTACGTCACCTCGTCGCCTTCCACGGGCACGTACTCCCCCTCGATGCTGGTGGACGGGAGAGGGGCGTCAGCCCAGCAACAGGCCCCGCTCCCAGACACCCACTGGGGGCTGGCCTGAGGGCTGCCTCCCCTCCCTTCTCAGAGCTTCAGCTCGAATCTGTAAAATGGGAACCCGAAAAGGTCCCTCCCTGTCTGTGCTGTTTGGGGATGGAGCCGTGAAAGGCAAGGGAGGTCCGGAGGCCTAGAGAAGCTCAGTGCCCCCGCCCCCACCAGGTCTTGCCTGGCATCAGGGCTGGGGGCCAGGCCTAGATCATCTCTCCCATGTCCGTCTACCCTCCAGGCCAGAAGACCCAGGGGCTGGCCCAGTCCACTCAGTTCCCGTGGTGCAGGATCCCAGGGCTCAGCCAGCGGTTCCCGGGGCTTCCGCGGCCTGCGTGTCCCCTCCCCACCTGGCTCCGGCCCTCCTCCTCCTTGTGCCCCCGCCCCGCCACGCACCCGCAGCCCCTGCGACAGGAGGAGAAAGATGCCCGGGACACAGACTTCAGCCAGCCAGGGGAGAGGCTTGGAGAGGCATTTCTTGAGGCCCTGCCGGGACCCTGCAGCAGGGGCCCAGCCAGGAATAGGGAGGCGGGAGGGACTCACTCAGACACATGCACAAAGATGTCCTCGGATCCATTCTCAGGGGTGATGAAGCCATGGCCCTGTGAGCGTGAGAACTGCTTACAGACGCCCTTGAACACGGGGCCAGCCGAGGCACGGGCTGTCCTGAGGTTAGAGTAGGGGGATAAGAGCTGTGGCCTGGGGCCTCCCCTCCCTGGACTCCCACAGCCCCCCTGGGCCCTGCCTGCCTGCAGAGCCTGTCCCAGAGCTGTGGAAAACCCTCCCCAGGCCAGAAACGGCACACAGTAATTCTCTCTTATGGTCCCATTGGACAATAAGGAGACTGAGACCCAGAGACGGGAACTGGCTCTTCGAGGGTGCACAGCAAGTGGGCCTCCTAACTCCCAGCCAGTGCCCTTCTCTGTGCATAGGACCCTTTCCTCCTGAGACGATTCAGGTTTACATGGGCTCCTGTTGTAAGATTTCTGAGGGAAGAACGCTCAGCCTAAACTCGAATTTCCCTCGAAATGGGGAGCTCACTACCTCTCGAGGTGGCAGTATCCTATTGACTTATTTGTCTCATATCTACTCATTCATCATTTATTAAGCATCTGCTCTGTGCCTGGCCGTGGGTTGGACACAGGGGACAATTAGTGCTTGCCATCCAAAACCTCTCCTTTCGGGACACTGGGCTGGCTCAGTCGGCGGAGTGTGCGACTCTTGATCTTGGGGTTGTGAGTTCAAGCCCCATGTTGGGCGTAGGGCTTACTTAAAACAAAACCAAAAATCTCTCCTTTGGCCAAGGCAAGTCAGCCTCCCTTGTGATTTCTCCAAATCGCCTCCCCCATGTGACCCCAGCCAGTGACCTATGCCAGAGGCCCAAGCCTGGTCTCCGTCTAGCCTGCCCACCCCTCACCAGAGGTCAGTCCCTTGCTTCCGTTTTGGTCCAGGCTGACCCATGTACCTGGAACACCCAACTTCCTTCTTCACCTAACACATTTGCCAAACCCACTAGGACCTCATCCTCCCTGACGCCTGATGATGTGTCTTCTCCCCCAGCCCTGGGTGGAGGTGAATGGTGGACAAATTCCTCCTGGATTGTAGGCAGTTTATGGGTGGAGACTGTCTTATTCATCACCGGGTCCCGTGGTCAGGTGCTCAATAAATCTTAGTGGAGTGAAGAATGAATGAATGAACACAGAGGTTACTGGAAGGTCCATACACAGCTCCTCTGTCCTTGAGTGAGGACAGCAGGGGTTGGACAAGGACAAGGACAGGGCTGGAGCCCTGTCCTGGGGAAAATCACTGGGGCCTGGGCGAGGGGCGGGTACTCACGCTGAATACGTCCTGGTCCGTTTGGTGGGCAGAGGGCTGGGCAGGTCCCGGGATGAGATGCCGCCCCGCTCCCAGACCCTGCTGCCCTCCCGGTGGAAGGGGAAGGTGGGCCAGACAGGAGACTTGGGGGAGTGGAGGGGGGGCACTACTGGGGGCGACGTGGGCTCTGAAGTCATGGTGGGTCCAGCAAGAGAGCCTGGTGGGCTCTCGGGCACAGGGGCCGGCGAAGAGCTTGGGCGTCCTTGCGGGCAGGGCCCGGCCTGGCCCTGCTCGGCAGCCGCACCAGCCGCAGGCTCCGTCTGGAACGGGAAGAAAGAGGTACAGGTGAGTGTGGGCCAGGTTGAGCGGCTTCTGGACACCAGGCCCAAGTCTGGAGGGCTGGGCCTGCTCGCCAATCCTCACGGAGTGACTTCAGGCCGCTCACGGCTCCCCCACCCTGACTCGGGGTCCTCCCCAGAAAGACAAAACAGTCCTATATCCTTGCTCTGGACTGAACTGTTCCCTCAAACATTCATATCTGGAAGTCTTAACCGCCCAAGGTGGTGGTATTTGGAGATGGGGCCTCTGGGAAGTCATTAGGTGTAGGTGAGGTCAGGAGCGGGGTGCCCCATGATGGGATTAATGCCCTTGGAAGAAGAGACCCAGAGAGCTTGCTTCCTCTCTGCCATCTGGGGACACAGCGAAATGGGAGCTGTCTACAAAATAGGAAAAGGGCTCTCACTAGAACCAGACCAAGCTAAAACTAATCTCAAAGTCCTTCCAGCTTGAAGCTCAATTCTCTAACTCCAGGGGCCTGGGAGGTGGGATGGGGAAAGTGGCCAGTGACAGTCTGGAACACAGTTTGGCACAAGTGTGAGCAGCTTCACAACCACACACCTGGGTTTGAATCTCAGCTTTGTCGCTGTACCTGTGGACTTCCACAGGTCCACCATGGCGGGTGGGAGTGCAGCCTCTGGACCCAGATGACCTGGGTTTCAAGCCTGCCTCCCGCACCTAACTGGCTGTGCAGCCTTGGTCAATGCTCTTAACCTTTGACTCAATTTCCTGCTCTGTAAAATGGGGATAGTGCTGGTTCTCACTTCACAGAGAGGTTGCTGTCGATGACCCTCTCCGTGCCCGGGCGTGGTAAGCCCTTGGGAACGTTGGTGAGTTTGCCTTAGCCCTATTTTCCTCTGCTCTGAGATGGGGTTGGGAATACTCACCATGCCAGGCTGCTGAGGAGTCACTGATGGAGTGTGTGACAGCTCCTGGCATCTCAAGAGATACCCATTGAATTGCTATCATCAGTGTTCATGGATAGAAATTCCCTCATCACCTGCTCAGTGCCTGGATGACCTTGAAAAACTTCATCCTGCATTTCCCTATACTAAGGAAGAGAACTTAGTCCTCTCCCCACAAGGGTTGGGAAGTCTCGAGCCCTAAGAGACACTGCCGTGGAACCCTGCGGAGGACAGCTCAGAGTACTGAGCCGGGCTGTGGACAGAGCCTGGGGCCACAGTGGGGCCAGGCAGGACACCTGGACCAGGAGCACTCCAGCTCTGCCGTGTACCAGCTGCCGACCTTGGGGAGTAGTTCCACTGGCCTCAGTCTCCTCGTCTGTATAACAGAGCAGATAAACCCTGCCTCGATCCCTCCCAGGCTATGGTGAGGCTTGGCTAAGCCTGGGGAGATAAAGAAGCTCTCATAATCCACAGTCACGTAGGAGTGAGGGTGACAGGGCTCTCCACTTCCTCACCCCCGTGCTTCACCACCTCACCCCCTCATCCAAAGACCCTAGTGCCAGAGGTAAATCCCTGAGCCTCAACCCTATTTCTGGCCTTCATCTTGTGCCCCACCCCCAGCCTAGAATTTCCAGGGCAGACTTGCACGGAAACACAGTGTGGCAAGGGCTGGGAGAGCCTTGGAGTCACACCATCCAACAGTGGGGCAGGTCTCCTGGCTGCCGGTCAAGGTCACACAGCAAGTGGGATTTTTCTGGGTCAGGCTGATAAGCCGGCTCTGCCATCCCTGGGGGTGGAGATGCAGCCTTTCTCCTCCCCAGCCCCCGTGCCCCAACATCCCTCTCCAGCCAGGAGAGCTGCCGGGGACTGAGAATGGCCTCTCACGGCCCTTTACAGCTCCTCACAGCGCCCCCAAGCTGATGTGAGGTTTTTCTTTCTGAGCCTGCTCCAGGAGTCAAGGCCGGGTTTGGCCTTTTTATTCCCATTTTTAGAGAGAAGAAAACGCAATCACACAAGAACTTGGACTTGAATGTTCACAGCAGCATAATTCACAATAGGCCCAAAGTGGAAACAACCCAGACGTCCATCAACAGAGGAGTGGATAAACAAACCGTGGTCTAGCCACAGAGTGGAATATGACTCAGCCATAAAGAGGAATGGAGTCCGGAGCCCTGACACCTGCTACAGCACAGACGAGCCTGGAGACCATTACGCCGAGTGGAAGAAGCCAGCCAGTCACAAAAGAGCACATTGCGTGATGTTATTCACGTGAAATGTCCAGAATGGACAAGTCCACAGAGACGAAAAGGACATCCATGGTTGCCAGGAGTTGGGGGGAAAGGGATGATGGGGAGTAAATTCTAATGGGTTGCGAGTTTCTTTCCGGGGTGATGAGAAGGTCCTGAAGTTGACCGTGGCCTTGTCGCACAATTCTGTGAGTATTCTGAAAACCCTAACTCGTCCACCTTAAACAGTTGAATCATATGGTATGTGAGTTATATCGCCATAAAGCTGTTATCAAAAAGGAAAACAGGCAGCAAAGCTACCCAAGATGTCAGGGCCAGGAAAGCAAGAGATGTCGGGCCCCTTGGTGCGCGTCCAGGCGTCCCCACCCCACCTGAGCAGGGGTGGCAGGTGGACAGAGGCTCTGCTTTGGTCCCGGCCTGCCCACTGCACGGTTTTCCCAGAGCTGGTATTGTGTGTGCTTGGCGGTGACAGCCGGTGCTGGGAGGTCGTGGGGAGGAGGGGCAGAGACAGCCCACAGCCGTTACCAGGGAGACGCAGCTGAGCCGGGCCCTGCTCTGGCCTCCCAGCCTCCCAGCCTCCTGACCCAAGGCCTCTTGCGGGGAAGGGGGACAGATGCATTGATTGATCACCCAGGGTTAGAGTTGAGGGCAGCAGCCCCCTTCCTTCCCCTCCCCAAAATAAGTTCCCCATAACGGACCAGGCAGCAGAAGGGAGGAGAATGGAGTAAGGGCAGTGATAGGACTTCATGCCCTCCAGCCCCACAGGACTGGCTGCTCTGGGCTCTTCCACCCCCACCCACCCTGCCAGCTTCCTTTGAGAAGCCCACAGTCAGCCTTAGAGCAGGAGTTAGGGCTGGGGCGCAGACAAGGCAGCCTCCACAGGGCAGAGAGCTCTGCCGTGGGATCTCCCCCACCTCCCTCCTCTTCTGGAAAATGGGGAGTGCAAGAGCGCGTCCTCCAGAGCTCCTGGGAGGATGAAATGGGACGGAATGCTGGAAGAACAGCAGGTGCTGGGTGAGAGGTCCACCCTCCCAGACCAGGCTGCTAACCTGGGCTGAGGGGGAAGAGGGAGTGGGCGGAAGGAGAGCCCCAGCTGGCCCGAGGCAAGCCCACCCGCACTTTCCTCTTTCCTCTTTCCCCAAGGACTTGCCCACCCGCTAGGTCCCTGCCCAGCCCCCTCCCTTTTTAATTCCTGCAGCCACCCCTTCAGCAGCAGCTGTTATGCCTACATTTTGCAGATGAGGACACTGAGGCTCAGAGAGACTAAGTCATTCACTCAAGGCCACACAGCAATTAATGTCTGAGCCAGGACTCAAGAACAAGGTAATCTGGCTCTGGAGCCCCGGGTCCAGGCCCTGCATTGCCACTGACTTGCTGTGCGACCTTGGACGGTCTTCCCCTCTCTGGGCCCTGCCAGAACCCTGGGAGAAGAGAACAAGGGGATGCAGGGCAAGCCTCTGGTTCAGGCCCTCTCCCCAGAGTGTGGCTGCAGAAAGGGACAAGTAAAGATGGGCTTTTATTGTCTGAATGCTGTACCCGGCGCAAAAGTCTTTACAGAGGCTACTCTCCATTTTGAAATCTCCCAGGTGCCCTGAAAGTTTGGAATTCCCATTGTTTCTATTTTACAGATAAGGAAACTGAGGCTCGGGGAGGCGAAGTGACTCACCCAAGGTCACACAGCACGTGAATGACAAGAGCTCAGATCCATCTGAAAGCAAACGGTGGGTGCTCTTCTCGTGAGGGTAAATTCCGCTCCTGGTTCAGCCAAAACACGGCTGGAGTTTTTACCAAAAGAACTTTCCCTGAGAAACTGAAGGGGAAAATAAACTCCTCCAAAAGCAGAGAAACAGATGAGTGTGTAGGACGTTTGTTTCGATTCAGAGTAAAGCCCAGCCCCCAAGGAACTCGGTCCGACTGTCTGGGAGCACCTGTTGCCCAGAACGATGCCCTTCAGAACTGGCCGCCGGGGGTTCGAGGACAGGCCGGGACCATTTCTGGCTGGGGCTGGAACCCTGACTCGGCAGTGACCCTCCCTCTCTGAGCCTTAGTTTCCTTATGTGTCGGATAGGGCTAATAGCACCTGTCCCGCGTGTGGGAGGGGCTGAGGAGCTGCTGTATGGATGGTCCACCTGTGAGGGTGCATCTCCCTGCCCACGCGGTCTGGCTCTGACCCTCCTGGCCGAGCTTGTCTTCATTTCCCTGCGTGAGGGCCAAACCCTGGCAATTCTGCAGACGGAAGGACCAGGGGAGGTAAAACCAGAACATCAGGACTGTTCAGAGGTAACCTGAGGCGAGGCTGTGATACAGTGTGACTCAGCCCCATCAGCAGGTGACCATCATCCTGGTGCTGGGCCTCCTCCAATTCTCAGGTACCCCAAAAAGAATGGGGCAGGAAATGGCTGTCAGAGTCCTCTCTTGACCATGCGAATCTGTCTTGTTCGGGGCAGAGTAGGGAGAGCAAGCTGGCTCAACCCCCCTCAACCCCTCAACCCTCTCTGGGCCTCACTACTCAAAACATCACTGGTCCAGACGCCTACTGAAGGTCAGTCCGACTGTCCTCTGAGGTTGTCAAAAGCACACACGTAACTGAAAGGAAGCTGAATGCCAGGCGTTGGGACAACAGGCCGGAGAGAAGACAGCCGCACCCTCCAGGGGGAGGACCAGACTGACCAGAACACAACATAGCATAACGTGACGAGAGACAGCTATCGTGTATTGATCGTTAGCCATGTGCCAGTGTTCTGCCAAGTCCCTGGCCCCATTTCCTCAGGCAGTCCCCACAACACCCCTACATGACAATGACCATTATTATCCCCATTCTTCAGAAG